TGTGTGTGTGTGTGTGTGTGTGTGCTCTCTAAATGAGCCTGAAATGGAGCTTTGAGCATATGGCACAGAAAAGGAGAAAGCCAGGGAGACAGGGGAGAGAAGGAAGGAATTAAAATATACTTTACTTTCAGCACTTTCTTATGGAGGGCGAGAACATTCGTGGCCACGAGTGGTTTCTTTCTCTTTGTTTCACCCACATATCCAAAGAATCCATTATCACCTGCTTACTTTTTAGTCTTCATTCCTCTCATATTTATTCTGGTGAGACTTTTTTTTGGAAGGAAATGTAAACTCAATACAGACTGGGAGACTGATGGTTAGAAATAGAATTGGGTGGCAGCAGAGAATAGAAGGAGGGATAGAGGAAGACAATGACTGACTGATTACAGCACATTATCATCACTGTATTTGTTCTGGTTAGGTGAGTTATTGGATGTGTTCTGCAGCTTAAACAGCAAACAGCAGCAAATCTGTTGAGAATCCTGCAGTTTCTTTTTTTATGCCAGAAAATGTGTCCACAAATTTTCTCTTTGATTAGAGATAGTTAAGCAACACAAGGTAGCAACAGCGATGGTCCTAATGCGTCACTTAAATGCAAAACCAATAAAAGTAATTCATGTGGAGTGAATCAACACGATTGATTTTCTCTGTTACTGTTTCCAGATTAGTTCAGGTTCCATGAATGTGTATAAAATACTCAATATTTGGCTCTCTGTTGTTGAGCCATCAGTGTGTGTGTTTGTGTGTGTGTGTGTGTGTGTGTGTGTGTGTGTGTGTGTGTATGTGTGTGTAAGACTGTGCAATATGTCTCTAACTGCTATGGAAGCTTTCTGTTAGCATTATAGAGTTATTGATTAGAGCCCTTTAAACCCCTTTATGCGTGCGTGTGTTTTTGCATGTATGTGTTTGTGTGAAAGAGGGAGAGAAGTAGAGACAGAGAGAGAGATAACACTATTGATCTTTTCCTAACAGTTACAGTAGTCTTAAATCTGCCTCTAGACACACACACAAACACACACAAACACACACACACATATATACATTTAGTTGTTGTCGGCAGCTCAAACGTAGGTATCACATGATCGTACTTTGGATGGATCCTAGTTGGAGTATTCTGATGTTTTGCTATTACTGTTTTCATTACAAGTACAAACAACGACACAAATGACAGCAACAGGCTGTGTGAAACACATCAAGCTAAAAGTCGTGTAAAAACACACTGGAAAAATAAAGTTTACAAGCTAACACAACCTAACACATTAAGCACTGAAGAACTAGGTTTTAGTTTGTGTCTGTATAACATAAATTATTCTTGACTACATCAGCAACAGCCATTTATTTGGGGTTTAACTGTCGAAAAACTCTGACCATTTGTGACCATCAGCACAACAACCACCATAAATTCTGTATGGTGCACATAGTATATGACATCTTTCTCTAATCCAGGTACCCCAATTCATATCTGTGAGAGGAGAGCAGAGACATTTCCAGAAAAACACAGAAATCTCAAATGTAAAACAACCTAGACAGTTTAAACTTTAGAACTAGGTTGTGCTCAATTTGGACCCTCTTCGTGCAGATTCAATATGTGTGTTCTTCTGACAAAAAGTCTATTGTATTGATTTTTGAAAATATAAGTAATAACATAAAAATTGCCTTTAAAGAATCCCCAGGAACTCAAAAGGATCTTAAAATATGCTATTGTAACAGGTAGAAGAAAATTTCATTCCCCACTTCAAAGTGGAAAAACTAGCAAGTAAGGACACAGGAAATATTTAAACTTTATGAAAACACTTGCTTCGCGAGGTTAGGCTGTCTCTATGCTTTTAGTGACATTCAATTACTTTGAGTTTCCACTGCATTCCCCTTCAGGTAAACAACACTCAAGTCAAGTGGATATACAAGTGTATTTGTGAGACGCTGCGAGCAAGGTTGCAAGAAGGTAAACATGGAGGTGACAGGTGACATTTCCAACAGTACTGTGACAAGTTTCATTTACATGTAGTTCAAAGTATAGAGTTGATGTAATTTCACAGCGATTTGACGGCCCACTGCGGTGTTTCCATCAGGCGAGTGTAGAGGTGCATACAGTGCCTCACCACTAATGTAGCGGTAAATAAGAAGCAGGGCAGACTAAGACCTCCAGTCAGTAATCACCGTGATGCCAGCACCAGGCAAATCAATTCCGCTCTCAGAGAAAGCTTTCATTTATGCTTTTTTGCATGAAAAGATCCTGCTTTTATATAATACACTGACTTGATAAAGGGAATGTGAGGATACACAGTAGGGTCCAAAAGTCTGACACCACTCCCCCATGGAAGATCACTGAGCTGGAGCATACTGTGAAGCAGGTTATGTAGGGACAGTTGGACAGGATGTTGACATGCACATTTAAAGATATTTTCAGTTTCCACATGCAGAAATGGTAATACAGTATATGTTGCTGTTTTATTTTAAAATGTGGCAGTACTACACATCACAGCATAATAAACTAATCATACACTTAGCAATCTCCCCATGTAATTAGGTGGGGGTCTCTCTCAAAGTGATACATTTAGGAAACATGTCAATGCCACTATCTTATTTTAGCTGTTTGGTTCAAACAGGTTCAATAAATAAATCTAGCATTTGTGATACTGAGGCTTGAGGGAAACAAGCTTTAAGTTTTGCTGGAAGGCACCAGATGATGTCAATATGCTAATTTGCATAGTATTAGGTACATTATGCACCTATGGCTTAGACAAAGGGTGGCTGTGGCTGAGGGGTAGAGTGGTCGTCCTCCAACCAGAGGGTCGGCGGCTTGAATTCCAGTCAATGGGTCCATGGTCAAGATGCTAAACCCCAAATGGCCCCTCATAGGTGTTGAATGCACCAATTGGAAGTCACTTTCAAGAAAAGCATCAGCTAAATGACATGTAACGTAACAAACTGGATCAAACCAGCAGCAGGTATACTGGTTACAAATGTTAATGGAGCCATTACGTTAACGTCCCTCTGCCATGACTAGTCAGAGTCATTTCAAGCCACACTGAGCATGCAGTTAGTATGTAACTAACTTATCAACCTCAAAGCACTTTGTTGAAGTCACTGCACTAATCAATATTTATTTATCAATACTGATTTATATGACCATGTGTAATGTGAGTGGGGCTGCTTGTAGTGACAAACCCACAGATACGTCCCACCACACAGTTCGCACAGGTCTACAAAAAGGAATTAGTGTCTTTCAGCCCATCGTTTTGTTTCTGATTCAGCTGCAGACTGATGTTAGCTGGTGTATGTAGAGCATTCACCTGCTAGAGAGCTAGACATTTACCCCAGGAATTGATGGAAAACAAAATAGAGTTTAAATCCTGGTGTACTGACTTTATATGTGGACAGAAGCATGACACATGCTGAAGGAGCTCTGTCTGCACAGTGTTTTCAGGTAGCTCCTGTTAGCTAGGGATGCCACGGTGTAGACAGTTTCCCACCGGGTGAGAAAACCCTGAACCCGTTAAACTTCTGTGGCAACCCTAATATTGGCCAACTTGTGTGGAGATAACATGTAAATGTTAAGCCCTGGTGCTTCGAAGCAATCAATTAATAATGCCTTAAAATAGAATGAACTTGATAATGGGCACTAAAGAAAAAGAGAAAAGCCCTGTAACAAACCACAGGAAACAGCTCTGAGTGATGTTCACTGCTGTCACAGCGAAGTGATCCTGTTTGGTCTGTTCATA